CATGTCGACGAAGAGGAGCCTAAATAAAAAACATATAACCAATTGTGTGTTGGTGGCCTTTTTATCTTTTCTTTCTGGTTTTTAGAAAATATTTTTCAGGACTGTTCGCAAAACTCACCTTTTACGTATTTTCGACTATATTCGAATTGATTATCACAAGTATTACGTTCGCAATTCATAAGATGGAATAATACCAAATAAGCAATACGAGCTTTCTTTGATGAATAAGATGACAGGGCATTGTGATATTGTTTCAAGACACTATTTCTTTGTTCCGCAACTTCAGTGTTAATACTTTTAGCTGCTGCATCTGTGTGAATATAGTCTAAGTTTCTTTCTTTTTGGCACATAGGCCGTTTATGATTCGGTTGATGGAATCGATCGATGAAGAAGAAGCATTCAGAAATAAATTTTGATGATGATGTTTGTGGAATATGTCGATTACGATCGCTTTTCCCATATCGATTCCAAAAGTAGATATATAAGCTACAAGCGTTATCATAAATAATCATTTTTGGTAAGTATTGATGATATTGACTATTGATAACATGTATAATTTTGAATAAATGCCGTAAAGCGATAAAACAAGATTCTGATCGAAAAATTTCATCAAAGCCGACAACTATTCCACAAGAAGACAATGTGTAAATAATACCTTGTGAGGATCGCTTTTCTAGGTCCACGAAACTAGAAAAAAAACTATCTATGCTAATATCGATATACTACCAACATACCGATCTTCTCTAGAAACATTGCATCCCATCAATGGATCATCATAAATCCCTTTATCATCATCAGTTAATAAAGATGTTTCACTATCTTTTAATAAAATGGATTCACGGCATGATTCACATAAGCCGGACTTTGTTTTCGGTGTGTTACCACAGCCAATGTAAATTCCATCAGGAAATTCTTCGGTACATTCCTGTTTATTCTAATTAGTACAAATTGGTCTCGCAACTTTTTGCATGCCATCCAAGACAAAACATCTCATACAGCCAGGATCTATATTCTTTCTTGTTGCTGCACATGGATGTGTTCGATGATGAGTTGCCCAATGATTAACAAAATCATTGTACCATTGATCGTAATTAATATAGAAAAAGTCATAGATAGAATTATTATCTAATAAACCTGGTATTTCAAATTCACGAAGATCATTCATAAAAAGTGTATATAACGATAACTGATATATAAACCAAATGTTGGAGAAATATTCTCGACTAATTTCAGATGTTATCTCATGTGCCTGAAATAAAAATGTGCAAATAGGTTTCAAAAAAATTTCTCCAATGGAAAAAAAAGCAAATCAAAAGAAATGAGTTACTTCTGCGTACAAAAGAAAAAGATATATAGAAAAAGCGTATCGATTTCTCCAATACTAAATATCTATACTTACGGCACTTTGATTTGAATTCAGATTGTAATATTTTTTAAGAGATAGATTATACGAATTCTCGAAGTTTTCAAAACCGGAATATTGCCGCAAGAAAAGAGACGTGAAATTTATTAACAATTGAGTAGAATAAGCTTTCTTGCCACCAAAATAAATGTATTCTTGATTGTATAAACAATTTGTTGTCACGAATCTTTTTCCATTGGTAAGCTTCTCGAAATAATTTGGGTAAAATTTTTGATGACATCTGTTGCATTTGGAATAATAAACACCGCCTTTAATAATTTTATCTAAATTATATATATTGATATATTGATTAAAAATCACATCAAGGTCTTCTTCACAGCTAATGCATTTTTTCGTGAATGGTTTTAAACAAACCAAAGTTGCTTTTGTATCAATTACTGAACTTGTCATATAATGATTGAGTAACTGATTGATATCAAAAGAATGAAAAAGTTCATTCATTTCACCATTATTTAAACGATTGATGATTTCTTGCACCGTAGTTTCCGTAAGGTTCGTATTAAATTTAACATTGACCATATTTATAATGTCCCGTGTGCGAGTTATAATGATAGAGTCCAAACGATCATTTAAATCTTTTACTAGGTGAAGAATTTTGATTTCGAATGTTCGATGTAATGTCAAGATATAAACTTCATCAGAATTTGTCACTATGATATTTGATGACATTTTATCTTGAAAAATCGAAGGGTATGAATTTCTGACAATATCTGAAAAAAAAAGCATATACAGAAAAGTTTGTTATTTCAAATAATGCGTTGAACAGTTTCAACCTTTGGATGACATTTTATCAAATGATATAGGTTTTATACTCTATGTGACAGTTCATATGCATGCATAGAAAAGCATTCAAATTATTATGAGTGGCTAATGATTTTGTCACTTTTTCTCAAGTTCTTTATATCCATTAGTAGATGCATGCAAAAGCAGATATAAATCATTTATACCAGTTTATTTCACGTTTGCAAGACAAAAAAGCAGAAAATGAATAATATCATATAAGAGTAAACAATATTTTCAATAATGATATAACACATCATCGTTCAAGGTTATTTCAATGAAAATAAACAAAACCATTTTTGTTTTAGAACAGCATGAACGTTTACAGGGTAGCATGATGAATGTAAAACAACAAATAGAGAGAAGGACATCAGAGCAGTAAACATAGCAAAATAAAAGATGATGAAACAAGAAGGCATCTTAATGACAATAACAACGTTCGAAGAAAATACCTGATACATAATTGAGAACACGCTTAAGTCCCAAAGACTTACAACAGAGAAAAGGTTCAGTTCGGACTATCTAATATTTTTCGCATACTTATTTTGATTATGTACACAATATATCGATAACAACAAGAAAGATAAACAATAAAAAAAACAAAATGTGAAGTTACTTAAAGACTTTATTGTTCATCGTATTTATCGAGACGTCGAGTTTTTGATCTGGTTTTCATAGGACTTAATTCACGTCTTGTTCGTTTAGGTGTTGATGGTGCATTTGATGTTGGGTTATTGAATGATGTTTCTAGAAAATCGACAAATAATTGTATTGAAAAAAACAAAACTAAATCGCTTCTAATTTTATAGTCTCATATCAGGAACGATTTTAAAACTGTTTTCTTTACAAAAAGTGGAAACGCTGAACAGATTTAAATCTCTAGCAATCACATGATTAAATAAGCTGTCAACAGATCAAGTGAAAAATAAAAGAAATTATAAATACTTTACCAATAGGTGCTGAACTAAATAATGTTGATTGTATTAAAATATTAGATGTATCACTAATTGGTAAAGATTGGGTAACAATGGATGCTGTTGAATCTGCATGTATTGCATTTGAATCTAGAGCAGAAAAGAAAATCTTAATGTATTGGAAGAAAATGATCAATCATTACTCTCTTGTTCTGAAAACGAAGTCAGATGGATATCTTGAACTGATGTTAAACTTAAATTTGCTGGTTCTAAATAAAGAAAAATAATCATATTTTTATACTATTATCTTCAAGATCGAGTGGCGAAAGAATTATCCAGAAATGAGACTGTACAGCTTCATGTATGACATTAAATTAGTAATTAAATTACCTGTTTGATCTTGTCGATGGGCTACAAGTGTTTCTGAAAAAAAAACAATATTCTTAAATTTATGGGTACTTCTATTCACAATATATAAAATACTTTTTTCCTTTTTTTCAAAAATAATTGTTTCATCCAAGATAAATCCAATATCAAGATATGGTTTAGAACGAAGAATTGTTGCTGCAGCTTGTGATATCAAACCTGATGAACGACTATGACCAAATTCCAGTTGTTGAAAAGATGAAACATATTGATTCCATGTTATTCCAAAAATATTTAATTTGTTTTGTTGAAAGCTCAAGGTTGTTGTTGTATTTGTTGGATCAGTTGGTAATTTTTTTATCCAATTAGTAGAAGATTTTGTTGAACATGCTATAAATTGACCTTCCATCAATAAATCAGCTGCTAATAATAATTGTGTTGCTTGATAGCACAAATTGGCATTGCCACCAAACCGTCGGTTCCAGCATGTTCGTGTAATTACAGGTGAACTGGATAAAAGAAATTGTTTACATTTATCTAGAATACGCTTTGGTATCGATGAAGGATTTGCCAATGCTGCAACTGGATCAAATGTAATTGTTTGAGATGTTGAAGATAATGAAGTTGATGACATTGACGAAGAATTTAAAAATTGTTCGTTGGAAATTTCTAAATCATATGAAATATAAATTGAGAGATTAGCTAGTAACTAGAAATTCATATACTTTCACGATTTGAGTTTGGAATTTGTAATGATTCAATTTCTCGAACAAGATTTGAAGACAAAGAATTTTGATTTGCAAGTAATTCCAATTCATTGGATTGTTGCTGTGGAACATGTACATTTAAACTGGAATGATCCTTATCTTAATAAAGTACGGATAGAAATATTTGATATTAAACTATAGGAATTCAAATGTACCAATTGATTCTCTAGGTGTTGATGTATTCACCATTGACGGTTTGAAAAAACTATAGCTTTCGACGTCTGAATCTAAGAAAAAGATAAATGGTTAAAATACATATAGAAAGACGAAAATAAAAGAAATATAAATGGTGAATTAGTAAATTACCATTCTGGTCAAAATCGAATTCATTATCTGTTTCCAATCTTCGTTGGTGGAACTGAGATGAAATTCTTGATGAAAATTCTTTGTCAAAATTCTCTGTAGATGTTACACTTTGTGAACGTGAATTTAATGGTTTATTTTGACCTAGAACATTAAAGAACACAGTATATTGATAAAAACAATGAAAGAAATTTATTAGTTGATAACAATTTTTCTTTGAATTACCTTCTTTTGTATTTGACGTAGTTGACTGTGCAGCAATATCAGTTGTAGTTATTATACTATACAAATGGTCAAAAGCAATTGATTGGTCTGAAGAAAGAAGACGATAAAAATTAAGAATAGAAAAGATAGGACATAGCTAGATAATATTCACTTTCAATAGATGCATTAATCTGTTGTTGATGATTGGACGAAGCTTTTCTATAGTCGATTGGCACATAGTCTTCATTATCAGTAATTGTAGAATC